CCACCACCCTGTTGCATCCCTCTTGTTGTTGCCCCACGCCGCTTCCTAGTTGCCAACCACTGTACATCTACCTAACCCCCCCTCTTATCACCTGTCCTTATTGTTGTTGCCCCTTCCCTTGTCAGCTCTCGATAATCCAACCTTTCTTATCCGCTATTCTCTCTCCAACCGCAACACCACCACCTTTGATTCGTGCCCTACCATAATTGGTGTTTGTGTTGAGTGTCTATTCTTTCCTATTTTGGCGTGTGTTTCTTGTGACCCCTATTTACTTTCATAATAAAAGTTGTATTTCTCGTTGCCATTTGAGATTAACTCCGGTATCATTTGGTAATAGAGCTAGCCTAACCTTGGTTTTATCTTAGAGTTTCTAGCATCCTCCAGATCACCGTCCCAAAAATTTTCTTTTCCCTCCACCCCAAACACTTCCTTCCACATGCTTATACCAAAAACCATAACCACGACCACGATGAAACAATTGTCAGAATCTGATTAAGAATCTACCATGGATGACATACAACGTCTACTCGACCAAGTGTTACATAAGCTCGATGCCATTGAGGATATAACCCAGGGCGAGATCACCGTGGATCGTAACGGTGAATTCCATGAGAGAGAGCAAGATGAACATCTGAATCCCTTCTGTACGAATGATTCTAGTGGAGAAAAAGACATGCACAATGTTTTGGGGTAAAATATTACCGGAGATATAAAAATAAGATGTTTGTTAGAAGATATAGTGATGAGGCATTTGTTTGCGGTTACAAAGATGAGATGCCTACTTGAAACAAAGATGAGTTGTCTGTTAGAAGATATAGAGATGTATCTATTAGAAGGTAATGGAACCAAATTATTTTCTCAAGTGAATGTAGATTGTCGAGAGAAACTTTGAATACAAGGTGCTTGATGATAGAAGAGTGAAGCCCGCCGCCATTAAGCTGAAGAAGAATGTTTCTTTGTGGTGGGAGAACCTGAAAAGGGAGAGGTAGAGAGAATAACGGGACATAATCATTTTTTTGGGAGAAGATGATACGGAAGTTGCTAAACAGTACATACCCCGCATCACTGCCAATGAATTTTCTTGAAGATCCACTACTTGTAGCAGAAGGAGCTACCAATGGAGGAGTAAATGACAGAATTTATGCAATTTAAGTTGAGGTGTAACTCTAAAGAGACAGAGAAACACCATATCCAAGTATTTGGGAGGCCTGAAGCCCGCCATCAATAATGTAGTCCAGTTACAACTCTATTGGGCAATGATGGATGTGCAGACATTAGCATTGAAAGTGGAGAGACAACAGAACCAACGTCACACACAGCCACCCACAGTTAGAGACCTTATGAGGAGACGCCTCAGGGAGTGGAGCAGATTAGTAAGAATAGAACATAACCACTTAGAGTACGAGGAAGTTCGAGAAGAGTAGCACGCCCACTACCGCTCTAGGCTGAAAAATGCTTCAGATGCCACAAGTTTAAACATATCAGTTTTAGTTGTCTAATGAGCCAAGTTATGTCCTTCAGCGAGAAGGGTGTAGTGGAGGAAGTTAGTGACGAAGAAGCAACTAAAGATCAAAGTAAGGAGCACCATCTTCTATTGGATGAGAGTTATATGCTCGTGGTTTGGAGGGTCCTACAAATTAAGGATATGAAACAGCAGTAATGGCTTCTGCACAACATATTCTGCACATGTTGCACTGTGAAAGGAGGGGTATGCAGTTTTATCATTGATGGAGGGAGAAGTAAGAATGTGACATTTACACAGATTGTGGATAAATTGAACCTCGTGACTCAGAAGCATTCTTAACCATATCCTTGATGTAGTTGAAAATTAAGAACAAGGCCAACATTGCCAGGATGTGTTTTCTTGAGTTTTTAATTGGAAACCTACTGCAGAATCAAGTTTGGTCCGACATGGTGCCCATGAATGCTTATCAGTTTTGTTGGGGAGATCGTGGAAATTTGATCGTCGACCTTAGCATGACTAATTTGGGAACACCTACTCCTTCACCAAAGATGATAAGTGCATAGTCCTACATTCTATAGAGTCTGAGATTACATGCGCCCTTGCTAGGAGTGAAGTGTTGGCCAGGTCGTTATTGATGATGGTAGAAGATAGTTGGACAAAGGCGTCGACTCCACTCATGGGATAGTCACCACAAAGAGCATTTCAAGATATCATGATCGATACCTTATCGCTATGGCTGCCATCGTTAGAGGGAGTTCAGTCTATTCTCACTTCGGATTAGGTTGAGCCAACCTGGGGTTACTTTGGGAGGATTCCAAATTATCTACATGACACGCAAAGACAGTGCAATCGACGTTATGATCCAAGTGCTTATAGGACCACATTCAAAGATCCTTTAGCCCCGAGAGGCTACAACATCTCCATCACCTTTAACGTGCCGATAAAAGCTTCAGCAAATGAGTCAATAGATCTCCTAACCCAAGGAGACTGATGAAGGGCATCTTTGCCTCAGGCACGGCAGATGCCGCAATATTGCTCTGGATTGGTTAGATCTAGGCAAATGAGGGACTGACTTGTCCTTCCTAGCATGGAGATCTGGGCCCACTTTTCTTTGCCTTAAGCTTATACATATGTTAATTCATGTTTAGGTCAATTTTTATTCAATTTTTTGTGAGGACAGCCATTGTCGCTCAGGTTTTTCCTTCTAGGCTGTATCTAAAGGCAAGAAAGTGTTTTGATTTTAACTCATCTTGAGGTAGTGTTTTCCTACGTTATTCTGCTTTCCTGACCTTCATCCCAATTGCTTGCTACCATCCCCTATGGGAATTGTTTTGCCCGTTGCTGCCCCTTCCAGCCCTTTTGTTGTAGTCCCAATGCCACTTCCTAGCTGTCAACCATCCTCCAACAACTGAGCTATTCTCTTCCCCCCACCCTCTCCCCAATCACCTTACCCTGTTGTTGCCGCTCCACTTTTCACCTATCAACCATCCAATTCTCTATATGCACTATTCGCCCTCCAACTAGAGCTCCACCACCTTCAATTTGTTCCCTAGTTGGTGTTTGAGTTGAGTGTCTATTATTCTTTCCTATTTTGACATTTGTTTGTTGTAACTTATATTTGATTTCGTAATAAAATTTATATTTTTCATTGTTGTTTGTGATTAACTCTGGTATCACACAATGCACAGCTCATCACTCAAATGCTATAACAAGCAAATTGCCCATGCACGAGGATGAACTTTGAGTTGCACGAGAAACAATAAATTGTGTGAGGGATCAATACACAAAAAACTATTTTTAATACAAAGTTAATGTTGTTTTATTATCAAATCGATTTAATGAAAAAATCATTATGAATTTTATTTGCAGTTTTTTTTACCCTGAATTCCTTCAAAACCTCTTCAATTCGGGATTGTGAAGTCCCATCCAGAATAATCCCCATCCCATATGTCGCATTAAAAAAAAAAGAAGCATAAAATCTTGATTGGGCTTGTGGTCATCCCTTTACCATCCCCTCTAAAGCTAAAACCAATGAAGTTATTCAATCTAAAATTATGGTATTGTTACTATAAACTAAATAATTTGTGTCTAACAACTAACTTTAATCGAGAGTTCTCTCTTATCATCGAGAGGGTTAATTGACTATAGGGGTTGCTTTTGTAAGAAGTTTCAAACTAGATCATAAAATCCCCACAAAATGAGGTGAGAATCTTTAGCTGGTGTGTTATCGGGAGCCCACAAAGGACTTTTTATATGTAATAAATTAAGGTGTTTCAATTTGAGATTTTAGTTGCTTAAATTTTTGTGATTTTCACCAATTTTGTTTATTTATTAAGTTTTAACTAATACCAGTTTTATTTTATTTATCAGATTAACTACTTTGCCACCTGCTTTGGGTAGCTTGACCTCTCTTGCTCAACTCCATATTGCAAATAACATGCTAACATGCTTACCAGATGAACTTGGATGTCTGAATCAGCTTCAAATTTTCAATGCAGACTACAATAGGTAGCCATTTGATGCACAGCTAGTAGCTTAGTATACTCTATTATAACTATACATTTTTTCTTGATCAACAGAGTTCGATTTTTTTTTTCTATTTTATTTCACGTCTTCCGGGACTATTTACCTCATCTCGCAACTTGAAAATTACATCTTTGTTTTAATTGATGTACTTTTACCGATATTGGAATTTTATATGATTTTAAAGCCATAAAACTGGTTGAAGGAATAAAATTATTATGATGCTTTTACATACATACCACCCAATTCTTATATATTTATATATCTAACTCCTAAATTTATTTTTTATATTTATAACACTCAAATCTTTCGTATCACATCAAAATATTACCATTTCAACATTTAAAATGTGAAATTCACCTTTGAAAGCGTAGGTAAGGTGAAATTGAAGTGTTAGCCATGTAAAAATATAGGAACCGAGTGGTTTGTATGTAAATCTTCCTATTATTTTACCAAAATGACCGATTGGCTTGCTTTAGGGATAGAATCCATTCTCTTTAGTTGACTTCTCTTGTGACTCTTAGGATAAGCTCGTTGCCTGCAACAATTGGAAATTGTTCCTCGCTTGATGAGGTTCATCTTTTTTACTTGTTTTTATTCTCCCTTATTGAGTTGCAATTAATACAAGCAACAATTATCATGTAAGAGTCACAGCTAACAATGCTTTTTACTGTAATTGTGCAGATATCTATCTCAAATAATTTTTTGACCGAATTACCAGAAACAATTGAAGATTTAAAAAATCTGAAGGTCTGCTTCTTTTTACTGTTGCAACTTGCATATTTTCTTTAAGCAGAACAGGAATACAAATTATTCAGAACATTTAGTATTAAGTTTACATTTAATCAAGTATGCAATAACTATTTTGTAACTTGTGCTTTATTTTTTTATTTATTTTGATTAATGTTCATTTAGCCACACATCTTTCAACAATGTTCATACATTTGATTGCATGGATGCACTGTTTTACATACTGCTTTAATGCATCATCATAATGCGGTCTAGGTTTAGTGCTCGAGAAAATATATTTTCATTTTTTTTCTTGAGTTTATTTTTTATTATATTCTCTAGTTGATTATTATTTTTCATTTTTCCTGTTATATTATGTCCAGTAGTCTCAAGTTCATCTTGAAGCGTGTTAGAGCCCAGAGTACAGTAGCCGCTTATTTGTCTTATGGATAGTGCTCAGCCTGATTGTTTTTCCGCTTCCCTTTTTCCAATCTAAATTTTGTTGCTTAATGCTGGATTAGTATTTAATATCTAAGCCTACAAGATTTATAAGCTTCTAGAATTAGGATCAGCCAATGTATTTTAACTTATAGTCCCAATAATTAGAGTAGCAGTAGTAAAAAATTAGAGTAGCAGTATTAAAAATCCGATATTGTGTACATAGTCTTACTTTTAGGCAGTAATTTTTATTGGCAGCCAAACATAGTAGGCATTTCTTAAAGAAAGTTTCAAAAGGTTTCGAAGAACAAAAGCTACAAACAAGCTTGAAATGTGTCTGTACTTTTTCTTTGTGAGTACAAGAACTTTGAATTGGTGATGAGGAAGAGCATTTATAAATGTTGCGATTTGTATGTAATGTCGGGTCCTGTTTGTAAGTACAAGAAGTCTAGGGATTAATTTGTAAATGTTAAGCCCAAGCCACTAAAAAAATGGGTAAGTTTTGAGGAGCGATTAATACCTTATGGTATCAGAGTCTAACCCTAGTTTGGTGCTGCTCGATCATTAGGATCGGCACAACTCAATCAGTACAGACTTTGGCGACTAGAGTTCGCTATGAAGGCAACAGACGGGCTCACAACTCGCTGGGAAGGCAATTACGACATGCAATTAGCTGGAACGACAACCAACGGATTGCGACATGCGATCCAATCACGATTAGAGCTCTCTGGGAAGAACCAAACGAACGGAAGTCTGAATCTCGTGGGAAGTAATGGTCGGCTTCTTAGTGTATCGAGCAAGGCGTGAGGACTCCTGTGAAAGCTTTTTCAAAAATATCGTTGATGAACGAGTTCATGATGCTCATCGCCTTGCTTGAGATACAAATATCTTAGTGCAACTGCTTCAACTCCTATTGGAACTGAGAATGCAAGGACGGGACTGCTAAACGATGTGGAATTGCGGCTTCGGAGTTACGAGGGCCGTGGAGCAGGGCTTTGTTTCTGGAGTTCCACTCGACAACAGGGAGGCGAAGGATTGAAGTGGCTACAGTTTTTGCGTGTTGGAGAGAGGCATTGCTGCTTCTTGCGGGCTAAGGCAAAGCGGATTACACGGACTTGCAGGAAGGAAGCGCGTGTGATCTGTGTGCTCTAGAATTATCCTTGTGTTTAAGGATGTTAGGAGATGGAGATAGTACGAGAGGTAAAGGATTTAAACTTCTGGGGAAAATAGATCCTGAAGTTCTGAAGATCTTGGTTGAGCTCATACAGGGAGCTAGCATCTCGACAGGAGCCATTTACCGTATAATCTTGGCCGGCAACCACCCAAGTTGGCCGTCCACAATGAAGGAAGATTGTTGGCCGCCTCGGCCAGCCACCCCCAAACAATTGGCCATTTTGGTTAACCACCCAGCGCCAACAGTGAGATATAGAATAAATTACCCCTCTTCTCCCCTTTAAACAGGGGTATACATGTAACTTTTGCCCTCTTTTCTCTCTATAAATAGAGAACTCCTTGACATGTAAAAGAGGTCTCTTAGGCTCTATTTCTCCCCCTTATGTAGGGAGCTTACCCCCCTTCTCTCTCATTTGTATTCTCACTTGTGTGGAATGAAAAGGGCCGTCAAGCTCGAGGACCGCCCCTATTTGCCCCCCGACAGGGCAACCCTCTCTCTCTTTCTTCTTCCCCCAGAATCTGACTCTGTTCCTTTGGCGGGGGGACAGATTTAGATTCAACAGATATATAAATACAAGGAATTGAGTGTTATTTATGTAAATCTTCCTAAATATTTTGCCGCGGATTTAAATATCTATCTTCAACAGCATTCATGATAGAGATCCAAATTCCCATTTTCTACTTTTTCTTGAGAGGAATGGAATTCCATGGGCATTATTCTGAGGTTCCTAACCAGCAATCGATTATCATCCTCTCGCTATACCAATGTAGCCGCACCAATTTAATAAGCTATGTATTCTTATTAATCATGCAATTTTGATCATCACCTATAAGTAATTGCTCTCGGGCGATATATGATATTGAATATCTAGCATGAAACTCCATCACATTAATGCTAGGTATAAAATCTCTGTAAAGATTCTTCTTAGAATCTCTACCTTTAAACTGCTTTTCTAACTCGATTCGACTTACCATTTGTTAAAAGAGTTTGATGGGCTCATTTTTTAACAGATTATTAAGAGATTAAGGGTCTGTTTGGGGCAGCTTATAAGTGCGGGCGGCGTTTTCAAACTCCGCCGTACAGTTTGGTTTGCGCGTTTTGCCAGCTTATCTGAAACTGCATTTGGGTTTTTACACCAAACGCAGGCCACAGGTCGACCCCCGCGACCGGCCCGCAGACCGCGTTTCAGGATAAACAGCTTATCCTGAAACTCACAAGCTGTCCCAAACGGACCCTAAGTGATATCTAGCTTCTCTTCATCACTCAATTCTTTGACTTGATGCCTTTATCTTTTAAAGCCTTGATATTATATCACTTTTTGTTATGTGGAAACAAAGAAATTCACACACTAACAATCAAACACAAACAATTTATGTGGTTTGGTGTTGAATTGATTTGATTCGTCTACGTCTACGGGGAGGGAGATTTCACTAGCACCGGATGGGGAAAAAAAAAAACGGTTTGGAGTAACAATTTCTTTACTAAGCCATAAGTCTCTTTTATAGAGGAGGGTCAGGGCATACAAGTAAATAATGCCAAAATACCAAATTGCCCCTTATAAAAAAACCCATAAAATACAACTCTTTTCACATTGGAAACAACATAAGGCTTCTTCGTTAACCTTCAAAAACATTACTCTAGAGAAGTGATGCTAGTGGGGACAAGGTTGTATTGCTTGGCAATTTCTTCTTTTTGTTGTGAAATTAGCGGAATAAAAACAGGAATCGACACAAATCAGAAGAAGAACACAGAGATTTAACGAGGTTCGGCAAAGAATTGCCTACGTCCTCGGGAGCGAGCGGCGGTTTCACTATTTCAGAGAAGTTCAAGATACATCCCATAGGTTTTCACATATAAATAGACATATACTAACCCTCGGATAAAATTACAATCACGCCCTCGCTCCTCCCAACCCCCTTTATTCCAAGAGACACTCCTTTTCACCAGGAGACACGCCTCTTCAAAAGAAACTCCAACTCCCTAGATATGAGCCATATCTAACAATTCTCCACCTTGGCGAATATCCAACACCTTAGGAGATATGCATCACCCGGTATATGCGCCTACCAAACAAATCTCCACCTTAGTGAATATTCAGCCCCTTTAGAAGAAAAAATCTCATGGAGTCTCTTTATACCAAAGTGGGTTGGGCAACCAAACCATCTAACCTGGCTTGGTCAAAGTTCCTGTTGCATTTTCACCATATGATTCAACAGAGCGATCTCCACCTGCAACTGTACTCCCTATCAGTTTATAGATGTTACCTACAGTGATCTTCCCTTTCATCACAGTCAGTGCACCCTTAACAATTTCGATGGTTTCCCTATCCTCATCTGCCTTAGGAATGAAACCATTTCTGTGTAGAGTGCCCAAGGAAATCAAATTC